AAAACAAACACTGAATAAAATAAAATAAAATAAAAACTATATTAAAAAAAGAAGAAGCTACAAACCAACTCTTTCCTGTCTTTCTTTCAATAAAGTAATTATTAATTTGATTTTATACACCCCCCTTGACCGAGAAATGAAATTGAAACGGTCACTGACACTCAAAAAATGACAAAAAACTAAAATGCTGCTTTGTTTCTCTCCCTTTTACTTTCTTTCTTAGTTTGTGGATAAAACCAAAAATACTCGCCTTGCAAAAAGAAAATGAGCAGCCCCCAGGGTCGTTCCTGCAGCAGGAGTTGTCTCTCTCTCACCAGCAGGAGGRGCCCCGAACAAAAGAACCACAGACAGAGAGAAAAAAAACAGGTTAATGCAGTCCAGATGTTTTCACAGGCTGCAGCAGAAAAACCAACCCCCCTCTGTCGTAAATCACTGCTAAGACAAGACAAAGGAAACTCTCAGCCAGAGAAAAAACTTTGAAACCCCCACCAGTTGAGTCCAGCCCAAACTGGCAAGTCAATATACAAAAATAACAGAAAAACAACAAAAAAAACCRACATTTAACATAAAACACACATTTAGGACATAAACACACACAGGACTGGACCCCTTGCTAGAACAGAACTTTAAAAAAATAACAAAAAAAAAACTTCGACAGGCCCCCTTTAATTTCCCTTTTTTTTTTTCTTTTTCTTTTTCAGACGAGGCTTCACACCCACACCCTTGTTAGCTCCCCAGCCTTTCGGCGGAATTACATTAGCTCCCTGGGCCCCCAAAAAAGAGCTATAACCGGTTACTTTATCTGGGCAAGGTAACAAAGAGACCTAGGCTGAACGGCCTTCGTACGACCGCGCCCTACCGCAGCTAACCCAGGCAGCACCGACGTCTCAATGCCGACCAGCTTATGTAGCCACGGAGTCACGGTTAACACACACTACACAAGGGATGCATCCCAACACTTTTTACTTCAAAATACGCGTATTTTAACTCAGAAACCAACAGAGGATACACACAACTAATCTCTCTGCGGCGGGCAACACTGTCATAAAAATAACAAAGAACTTAGCTTAGCAAGGGTCGGACACACAAAACAAAACAGACAGAACTCCAGACAATAACAGAGAGCCTCAAACGCTGTAAGCAGCCGACAAAAACCCGCACATGACCCGCTCTGAGCTCTCAAGGCATTAACCAAATAAAACAGAAGTATTTACGACTGTAAAAAACCTCTATTAATCTGATATTAACCTTTTAAAGCTTTTTACAGGCCTGATTTCGTGACG